TACCATCCTGGGAAAGTTATTAATCAGTTACAGCATCTTGGACTAATTGAACGTAAGTACTCGAGAGGTCTGCAATGATGTACCCAGGTCTAAACTGCAACAACTAACACTCCACATCTCCAGAAGGAGATGTAGAGAAAAGTAATGTTCCAAGTCTTGGACTTTGAAATTAATATCTAATATTCGGAGGACAAACTTTAAAGTTCACCACTGAAAGCATTACAGGACATCATACTATGGGATGTAACCATGTAAATTAAAAGAAAATAAAACCATATCTAGAGGCAATGTTATAATCTGTAATTAGAAACTGGAACAGGGTATTTTAAACACTAAATCCCCATGAATACTTCATTATACGTTTATTATACTGTAATATTCCAGTTTATGTAACTTCAAAATCTTTTCAAAGAATAGTATCCAGTCAAGAGCACAAAATTATCTTTTATGTAAACATGATCATTTAGACACACTAGCGAACACTAATATAGTTCTCAGATTAAATGTCCTATCAATATAAACATGAAAACAGAACAGCTATTTTTACTTTGTGACTATTTAGCACTTTAGTTTATCAGCAGTGAGTCAGTGACATACAATTGTTATTATTTCTTGTACTAGTATGACAACTATGCCATAGCACAACAAATTATTTATATTGCAATTCTTTTAATGATGAGTACATTAGCGGAGATCATCTTGCAACAAGAAGAGAAAAATAGACAAATGACTTCCTATAGCAATTTAAAAAATAAACCTCTTATTGTGCAACACTATTTCAAAAAGCGCATACTTTGTCATACCCAGTTCTATACTGTGCATCTCTAGATTCTTCTGGTCTCATTTCTTCACCATTTTCAGTAGTTTGAGTGTGGCTGACTGCAAAGTGATGGAAAATTTGAGTGTTATGGAATATTGGGGGATACTTTCAGAAATATGCAGAAAAATGTAATTCTTGACTAGTTAAGTACACAGAGCAATTATGTGAGTAGAAATGATGTGGTTCTACCAATCAGTTTGTTATTTCAAAGATGCTCTTGTTTTGTTAAATAATAAAGTATAAACATAATTGAAGAAAATCTTCTAAATAAACAATTTTCTTGACATAATTTTGCATACATGATGATGCCAAGTTCTTTTCTTTATTAATTTTATTGGTACATTTTTGGTATACCATATAATGACATTCATCATTGGAAATTTGTACCTTTACATAATATATCTTGGTTCTTAGGTTTTTCCTCATTCCCCTGCCCTCCCCTTCATCCCCTCCATTCCCCCGTTTACAGAAACTTTGTTTGCATTTTTTCATTTTGTCATATTAATTCCAATCCCTTCTTTCCTTTTGCCTACCCCTCCCACTTCCCTTTTGCCCCTTTTCTTCCTATTTGACATTATCTATTATATCTTTTAGTCCTTATTTACAGTTCTACTTTCTCACACTAGACAAACTATTAGGTATCTACACGTGTGTGTCATATTTAAATTAAGAGTATGGCCTTAGTTTGCATCTATTTAGCTATAAATGTCTCTAATCTTCCCAAAATAATTTTTAAAAACCTACCACGGCACTATATGTGCACCCACATTCATAGCAGCACAGTTTTTAATAGCTAAAACTTGGAAACAGCCCAATTGTGCATCAACTGGGGCCTGGATAAAGAAAATGTGGCTCTTTGATGTTGTATTTTTTGTTTTTGTTTTTGTTTTTTCATAAAAAGAAGTACTACTCAGCCATAAAGAATGAGAAATCAGATATAAGTTCTTTACTAATTTTACAATAAATCTATAAATCTCACAGTTCAGTAATGCAATGTTATAGAATGGAAGATCAAGATAGAAAAAGTAAATGTGTATATAAGCTAGCAAACAAAATGAAATTTAGAAAAATATGACTTACAAAGGCCACAAATAATCTCCTAAAGCTGAATTGTCATCAAATTTGAATTGCCCTTTTCATCTCATGTAAGTCAAGGATTGGAAACCTACTGTTACCATAGAGGTCCATTTCTGCTGTCCATATTAATTGGCTGTGGTAACAAAACACATATTTGGTGTTGCAATTACCCAAAGGTTTGTAAGCCCAGATAATGTTTAAAATTATTATAATACAAAAATCATTAAAAGAGTATGGAAAATTTGAATTTATTTCATTTGCTTTTCTCTAAATATTGTTGTTTTGCTAGCAATTCATTTTAATGTGATATATCAGGGGCAGAGAAAACTAATTACAACAAGGATTATTAAGTCTACTATGGGCATATCTTTATAATTGCACCTTCCAATCAGAAATCTAAATCAGGGATATAAATGTCATTTCTGGTGTTACTAATTCCTCCTCTTTATCAAAGGATCTCCAGCAAATGGCTTAAGTTTTCAACCAAATAAGAATTTTAAAACTCTCCATCCATTATGGACCCTGTATTACATTTCTTAGCTGCCTTTTCCCCATTTTCTCTTAGCTGTTTTGTGTACAAACTCCAAACGCTCCTATTCATTTTGCAGTAGAGTATTTTCTCTTAGAAACTATTTCTGCTGTTTTTCTTGCTCCATCCAAACTAGGATGTGAAGAGAGTCCATAATTATGAAACTAAGGGCATTCGTTAAGTCCTATTACTCAGAAAAGACAGCTGTCTTCCTAAGGGATCTCAAAGAATTTTTTTCTTCTTCACTGAGGTAAATTAATTAGGGTAAAAAATGCACTACAGTTAAACATCAAATCCAAGATCATTAATTAACTGCCTTTAGTTTCCTTTTGATGATTAGTCATGATTTACTGGAAAATATCAAAGTACACCTTTCTACTTCTTTTTTGGATATTTTTATATGTTCCAAAGTACAATTTTACATTAGATGGACCACTTAGAATACTTCAAAATAATATTACTATTTATATCCAGCTTCAAATAAAATTAATTAAAATCAAAACCTCTTCACCTGACAACAATGGGAGAAATCATCAAGGGCTAGACCCCCACTGATCTACTCGTTCAGGTTTTAATGATTAAATTTTAAAACATTGGTAACTATCAGAGGCGGGGTACATCCTACACCATCAATTAGTACCAATGACTAAATTGATGGTAATTCATTTAGAACTTTTCTAATTTCCAGCATAGTCGTAGTCATATTCTCTCTCTCTCTCTCTCTCTCTCTCTCTCTCTGTCTCTCTCTCTCTCCCCTCTCTTTCTCTTCCTTCCTCCCACTTTCTTTCCCTCTCTCTCTCTGTCTCCCACTAAGATCAAGTATGTCTATGATTTTACTATGTATCTATATTCATTTTCTCAAATTAGCTTCAAATTCTAAATCTCAGAATACATTTTAAAATTTAATTATATTCAGTGTGTCACAACTGCTGGACATAAAACATAATGTCCTGTTGATTTGAACCGATTGTTTGCAGATTCTCAGCAGATTTGAAAATCTACAATGGGAAAATGAGCTTATCTAAAAAGCCCGTGGATTTTCACTAGGATAATATTCAAAGCACACATTTTAATGCCTAAAATGTCAGGTTAGGGTTAGAATATCTAATACTATTTGAATTCTAAACACAAATTCTAATTATTCTATGAATATAAACGTACTATTTTATAGTCGCTAAAATGATCATGTTCACATTCCTTTTAATATATAAATGTTTATGCTGTGTTGCTCATCATTACAGCAACTATAGTAAGAAACAGGGAAGACTTGCTTATACATTCAATAAAGAAAACTTAATTTAAATATGCAATGTTCCAATAATACTTGTATATAATAATTATGAAAAGATGCACATATTTAGGAAAAGTAATACCTTTGAGTAATTCAGCAGAGTTTAATAAGGGATTGTCTGAGATTAAGGGGGTTCTATAAACGATGTACAGATCCTTGTGTGGAAAGTCTACAAGTAACAGCTCCTGAAGGGTATATGAAGACATCTGCTGGGTAGAACTGTGCTGGAGAGAGTAAGAGCACCAAGGTTGTCCAGGGCAGATGACACATGACCAATCTGTTAAGAGAGCTTCCTAAAATATCATCTAGAGCATTTTTTAAATTTCCGAGGAACAATATCTATTTTCAGGAGTTTTGATTTATTTTATTTAGTGTAGGCACAGACACTTGGAATTTTTTAAAATTAAAATGTGTTATTCTAATATACAGACAGTATTCATGAGTTGCATGGTATTTTTCTTGTGTAGAAAGTGATTGCAATAGGACAGTAGATACTGTAGCATTTTCATTTAGATATCTGATTACATTTCCTATTCTAATCATCTATGCTACTGAGCTCTTCTGTCAAAGCACACGGTACATGGCTTTGAATTTTTCAATTTATTCAACTATATCTTTCCATTATTTATCAAGAAATTATCAGTGTGTGGGGCCACCTTTTTCCCTCTTTAAAAGAAGCCTCAGGCATGATTAATCAGGACTATATATTCTTAGAGGGATGTATGGTAAATTTTCTTAGGAAATAAAACTGGAAATGATGGGTATTTCTATCAACATATAATCAATTCCTATGACTGTTATTCATTTTAGTCTGTACAATATTAATTCATACTCTATACCATTAAGGCTTTTACAGATAATATACCATGGAGACTTGAAATAAATGAGAAGGGAGATTTAAATATGAAAAATAAAAAAATGTTTTATTTCTGAAATTTTAAAAAGTTCATTTGCTCAACAAGTGTATTTTCATTTTGCGACATTAAAAAATAATGAAAATGACTCCTCCACTATGAAACAAAGCAGTTTGCTTTTCTATTAATCTCTTACTTTGTTTGGTCTGATGTAATTCTGCTTTGCACCTTCTTGACAGGAATCTTACCTTTCTCTGAATCCTGAAAAGAGGAAAAGGTGGTCATTTTATTCAAAATAATGCTAGAAATGTTGTTTTTGCTCTGAGAATCAAGATGAAATGCTAAAATTCACTTTCTGTGAAGCATTAACCCAGTTCCTCTCATTGAATTTCAACTTTCAAAAACTACTGTTTCTTTCTGTCATTTCAGAAAGTGATTTTGACAGAGAAGTGGAGACCGGCATTGCTTACGTGGACACATATACAGAGTGCTTATGAGGACAAGGATAAGGGTTGGGCATTATTTCCCAATAACAAAAATAAAATACAGATGTTTAAACAAGATAAAGGAGGGTTGTATGTGACCTAGATCAAAATGATGACTATAGCCAGCATCTAACTATGGGTACAGAGTTGAAATTTAACCTATAAAATAAAATATGGGTCATCTTAGCACTTTACAATTGGATATGAGAATTAGACAGAAGCAAAGAAAGAAGCATACAATGAGTCCAGATCTTTTAATCATGTCGGTGCCCTGTTTGAAGAGCAAAAATTTATACTTTATTATTCCTTTTATTCTAAATTTTCTCTGGAATACCACTACACCTTGCAAAACCATGCCATAAAAGTGGATGCTATAGAATCTCTTTTGCTACAGGTGGAAAAACACGTAAGGCCTACATGCAGTTCCTGTAGACACCTCCTGGACTTTTTTTCTAAATGGAAACATTCACAATGGAATCAAACTCATCTCCAAAGTCAGAGCTCTTTCTGCATTTGCTGTGTTACTGCATAGCACCAACCTTTTCCCAAGGTCACTAACATATCTGAAATCTGATTCCACATGTATCTCTATAAATGTAGGAGAATTTTGACAATGAAGGAATAAAGACACTAAAATTGAGAGGAATGGTGGAAGAGACATTCAGTGTTAGACAAGAACCATAAGATCTTATGAAAAAGACACTGCCTCAAAATCTTAAGAGATTTTTAGCAAGGATTCCTTCCTATTAACCTCAGGAGAAGAATACTGGAAGTTCAAGAGATAAGGACTTAATGAGATTTCAAAAAATGAAAAATAAAATATTTAGTGTTCTTAACTTTGATCTTTGTAGAAAATGAGACAGGTTTTCCTCAAAAGAGTCAATGCATTCTGTATTGGTTTGAAAGATTTTGGTTCCTTCAATAGCTGACAGTGGAAAATATAGTACAATCTACAAATGATTCACTGTTAACTTTTCTTTGTTATACATAACTTAACACATGAAATAGGAATAAACTCACATTTTAATTAGCATGGGCTCTTGTTGCCCTGTGTTAGTTAAAAACTTCCTCTATAGGCTCCTTTATTGCCATGTGCCTTTCCTGTTGGCAATTTTCTATGCGCAATGTTTCCATAGGCTTTCATGCTTCTCCTCCATACCAATTCAGGCTTAAACTAACAAGAATTTAAGAGCTATGTCAGTTTTTACGCACTATTTTAGCCTTGACACATAATACTAAATCAACTATTTGTTGAATGAATGCTTGCTAGTAGTATACTTCTGATCTCTTAAAACTGGTTGGTATGCCACCTTACATCATTTAGTAACACTCATGCCAAAGAGAAAATGTTCTAGATTATAATTTCCTTGATTAAATCATTAATATTTCATATATGATATATTAATCCTAAAATATGCTAAACTAATAACTTAATACAATATTTCAAGAGTGTATGTACTACACCTACTAATGCCATAGATCTGACGTACTCCAGAGTAATGAAACAACAGCAATTCCGTAAGATTATTTTAATCTGTTGATCTTACTATAAATAACTTCTTTAACCAAATATAAAAAGCATCATTTTTTACCAGAAACTTTTTAACACTATTTAACTGACTAGCTAACAATTTTGCACAATTCAAAACACTTATCAAATCAAATAAGCTAACAATGTACTTCTTCCATAGTATAAGTTTAACTACATATTTCTGTATTTCTAGTACTTCACTAGCTAGAGCTATTTGCCCCTAAGACTTTGTATTAGGGACTTTTCTAATTTGCCTAAACTTTTTTACATATTTTAAAGTGTATTTTAAAAGAGGATGCCACTAAATCTGTAAGTTTTCTATTTCCTTATTTCAAAGAAACACTGCACTACAATATATATCACAATCACCACACAAAAATTAATTTGAATGAATAGTTAGAAAAAAATCTAACATTTTCAGCAAAGATACTTGTGAGAGATGTGCTTATATCTTATGATCCATCAAACTGCATGTTTTACCTTCAAAAGACTATCACGATAAAGCTTGACAAGTATTACATACTACAAGTTGTAAAGTATTTCTTAGATAATAATGTACAGTGATGGAAAGGAGGAAATTTTCCCATTTGCACAATGCTTTAAAGAGCTAGAAAAATGTCTGCTTATAAATTTATGCTTAGCCTATTTCCCAGTTATAACAATAGTTTACTAGTAATAAACATTTTAGTGGGGAAAATAATTAGAAATTTACTTTTCCCCAAAGGGTACTTTACCTTTATTAAAAAGACCCTTTGTTGTATTACACAAACTGCTCCAAAGATTACCACACTTTTGGCAAGTGGCAACACGGTCTCTGCATGCTCAAGCACGAAATTACTGAAGTGGAAGCATCTGCTACTACGCTTTTACTCCTGCTGAGTTAACCTCTGCTTTGCAATGGTCAGTAGTCAATACTTCATTTGTCTTCTAAGCTTCCATTTCACTCTCCTTTCAAACTGTTTTAATAAAGATGGTGCCTATAGTGGAAAAGCTGGAAATTAATCACTTTTGGAACAACCCGTAAACTCATGTTTTATTAGACATCAGACTTCATGAAAAAAAGAATCTCATGGATATACTACTTTAATGCCACTGAATCAATAACCTGAAAACAAGGGAACTTTAAGGAACAGAAATAAGAATTCCATATTGATAAGTCAAATTCCCTTCTATTCTTTGAGAAAAAGATTTTTTTAAATAATATTTTTACACTTGACAGCAATAGTATGATTTATGTAACTATAAATACTAATTGCCCAAACATTTCATATAAAAGCAATTTATTCAAATAACATAAAGGTTTCATATGGTGGATCCAATAGTAAACGAACATTAAATACTTCTAATTTAAAACCTACAAATGTGCCGGGCATGTTGGCGCATGCCTGTAATCCCAGCACTCGGGAGGCTGAGGCAGGAGGATCGCTGTGAGTTCGAGACCAGCCTGGGCTACATAGTGAGTTTCAGGTCAGTCTCAACTATGTAGTGAGACCCTGTCTCAAAAAGCCAAAAAATAAATAAACAAATTAAATAAATAAATAAAACCTACAAATGTATGAATAATTTGTTTCCTAATTTTTATCAACTTAAAATGATTTGTAATACCTACCTAGTGAAAACTCAGAGCATCGTTAAGAAAAAACATTACACAAAATGAAAGTACATGTTACATACCTTAGATGATACATATTGCATTGAAAATGTTTTATAATAACTTTTTTTTAAAAAAGTGAAGAGTTGAAAGAAATATTTCATTCTTTATAATATTCAAAGTTTGAGAAATAATCTAAAGGTTTTAAATTACTAAATACAATAGGTACATGTGACAGTTAACCGACTGTGTCAACTTGAGTAAGAAATGCTCATTTAAATTGGCTCAGCATAGTCCTGGGTGTGAAAGACCCACCCTTAGGGCGGACTGTCACCTTCACCAGGACAGTATAACAGGGAATGCAGAAGGAAGGCTTGCTTCTGCTTCTTTGGAGGAGCTCCAGTCTTTATCTTCACTTTAAACGTTCTCTCCTAGCTTCTAGTACAGACCCTTTAAGAGCAGATCTTCAGCTTTCCAGTGCAGAGCCTTAGGCCTCCTGATAAGGACTTGCACAGACACTACGTGGAGGGCCAAGCCCTCCACTGGATCCTTCAGATCTCCAGCACATACATGATCTTTTGCACTCTTTCACACCTCACTCTGTGGACAGTCCTTATAAAGCTATCTTGTAAATTCTTATGTATTTGTATATCTTGCATTAAATCCGTTTCTCTAGTAAGCACTGACTGATGCAGTACTTTTAATTTTTATTTGATTATTTCATACTAAATATTGCAAATTTACTTTCACTTTTATGTTTATCGTGGCAAAACCATTTTAAAGGTTTTTTTTTTTTACATCTACCATAGCATTTGTGGAAGATTCAAATGAGCTGCAATATTATTAACCTAACTAGATTATTTGTTTAGTTTTGACCATTTCTCCTTTGTCCTTCTGTTTTTAAGTAAAGAATTTGGCATCTTCTTTGGGACTTTTAGCAAACATAATATATATTCAGAGTTCAGTTATTTAAAATATCAGTAAATTAGTTTCACAAAGCAAAAAATGTCAATAAACACCAAACTACTATGAATAATATATGAATTATTCAAAAGAAGCCTTAAAGCCTCCCTCCTATTTTCCTCCTGGTAGATATGCACAAGAATGTAAAGGATAACATGAAATTCATTTGAAACCTTCTAATTTCTTCCTCATTTTCAGCTGACAGGGTATAAAACTGAGGCTCAGCAAGGTCAAGGATTTGACTCACAGCTTCCACAGGAAAGGTTTTGCAGAAGTTTCAAAGTCAATTCCATAAAAATAAATCGTTGCAAGGGAGTAAGCTAGTAGGCAATCGTCACAGAACAGATTCTTGGAGAAAACAATATTTAATGAGCTGTTAGAATGATGGAGAGATTTTGGAAAAGTAAAAATGGAGTTAATATAGTTTTTTTTCCTCATTGACGTAGTCAGGTTTATTTCACTAAAGGATCTGAGTTCATCTACTTTTCTTCAGGTTTGAGGGAACACTAAAAAAAGTGCCTCTCCATCTAATAAATAAAGTAATATTTCACTTGCATTCAAAATTGTATGATTTGAATCTTATCTCCAATCTTATCTCTCCCAGCCTTTCTTTATGTGCTACTTGTATTACAGTCAGACAAATTTCCTCAAGTTCTAAGATAGTATTCTTGACCTTTTGATTTTTCATAGTTCTCTTTGCCTGGAATTCTTTCTTTCCGTGTACAAATTCCACCATTCCTTTATCTGCAATTTAAAGCCACTAGGAGAGAATAGTTTCAACCTTGTGAACTCACTTGGGATTTTTATCTTTATCTTTCCTCTCCTTTCAAACAACCATTTTTTCTTCTACTGTGAAGATCAACACATTTATTTCTCTTAAAAGAGGAAATGAGACGGAACATATCTTATATACAGACTATGT